TCATGTGCACAGACCTAAACGCTCATGTGCACAGACCTAAACGCTCACGTGCACAGACCTAAACGCTCACGTGCACAGACCTAAACGCTCACGTGCACAGACCTAAACGCTCATGTGCACAGACCTAAATGCTCAATGTGCACAGACCTATATGCCCATGCACATAATTAAAAATAAATCTGAAATGGAATCCAGAATGAAAAGAGTCTTCTGAAAACACTTTGGCGGTTTCCTACAGAGCCAAGCACAGCTTGAGCCCTTACATTATCTCAGGGCTACAAAAGCTGCACGTGTACACAGAAGAGCTATACCTGGGTATTCACAGCAGCTGCCCTTGTAAAAGGCTCAACTGGCATTACAGGTGCCATTTCATGAATGACTGCTGAAAACACAGCAAACCATCTATACCATGGAACACTGTGATGCCCTTCAAAAGGTCAACCAGCAGGGCGGTGGTGGTACACATCTTTAATCCCAGCACTTGGGAGGCAGAGGCAAGTGGATCTCTGTGATTGTAGGCCGGCCTGGTCTACATCGTGAGTTCCAGGACAGCCAGGATTGTTACACAGAGACACCCTGTCTTGAAACAAACAAACGAAACTAAAGGTCAATCAATTATATGTTGGACTAACTGGGTATGGAGGTGCACACCTTTGATCTCAGCATTCAGGAGACAGGGATAAGTGGATCTCTGAATTCTAGGCCAGCCCAGTCTACATAGTGAGTTACATGCCTGCCAGAACTACACAGTGAGACCTTATCTCAAGTAAACCTTGGACAAGTCTCCTGGGAATTACACTGAGTCAAATAAAAGCCATTTCTAAGGATAATATATTGTATTCATGTTATGCTCTGAAATGACAAAATTATAGACACTGTGTACAAATTAGTGGATGCTAGGGGTCAGAGGGCAGGGGTGCACAGAGGTGGCTGTGGCTTTTATAAAAGGTCAAACTGAGGGACCTTGATAGTGATGGGCCTGTTCTGAATCTTGCCTGTGTCAGTGTCCACATCTGGCTTCAGATGTCACACTGCCCTCCCTCCCCACGAGTCAAGCCAATTTTCCGAAAGAAAATACAATTGGGATTAAAAATGTATTTATTGGAAAAAACAGCTTTCCTACTTAATGCAGTGGTTTTCAGTGTATTCAGAGTCATGTAACCAAGTCTGAAACCTTTCCACCATCCCAAAGAGAAGCACTTTCTTATCTCCTGCTGACCGCTCCCCTCCACCCTGGGGCTAATCTCCTTTTGTCTCTATTGGTTTCTCC